GATTATAGGCGTGAGCCACCGCACCCAGCCTTATTTTAATTTAAAACACTAAAAATTTGCAATGTTTTTAATCAAGGCTGTAATTATAACACTCCAAATCATTACAGAAGTTTTCATCTGAGAAACAAAATAAATACCCTTGAGTAAAAAAGTCACTCAAGGTTTTATAAATTTTCAATGTTTAGTTATAAGCTGTCATCTCAAAACACAGAAATATAAGGTACAGAAATACAGGGCGAGATTCCCCCTAAAAAGACACATGGGCAATTTCAAAGCTTGGTATGTATTATAATAATTGATTTTTCTAAAATTACATGTTTATTGTAAGGGAGTAGATGGCCAGAGTAGGGAATATAGGACATTCTGTTAGATGTTTCTCAAGGAGATGCTCGCTCAATTAGACAATTAGATGTTCAGTTCAATTATAATACTGCACTATTCTTACATAATTACACTGGTTTCCTAGGTTATCAGTCTGAAACACTTTGAGGGGCCACAAGGGATGGGACCAAATACAAATTATTCTGTTCTCTGCAACAGAAAAAATGTCACACTATCAAAGAAAATATACCTTTACATTTTCTTACTCTAGTAGCAAAGTGGTATGAACCTATAGCTTTTTTTTTTCTCTCTACCAACTTGATTTTTAAAAAATCTCTTCCCTAAGCTATGATTCTCACTGCCTGGCAGCAATCCATTAGTTTTTAAAATAATAATGACAACATATTAAGCCAACAAAGTCAGGATTATCTGATAAATTGATTTTTTCCTAGAAGGTAAAGATTGACAAAAACTATTCTTCCAGTAACCAATTCTCTGCTATCCTTTCACCTGTACTGTTTCTTAAGTTGTAGGTTCTTAAAAAAGAAGTGAGAACAAGCAAAGCAAATATAGCACAAAGATGGTAAAGAACATTAACTGACTCAAAAGGCAATTGACAAAGGAATAAACCTCCACCGGCAGCATAAATGCCTTAAAAATCAGAATTAGGTCATCTTTAAGGACAGTGACAACCACTGAAGAGATTCTGCTAAGAGAAAAGAAAAGGTTTTCTAGGCTATTTTATTAAAGTTTTTGGTAACAGAGCTCATCTTCTGAATCTACTAAGTTATAAAAAAACTAAAAATAATTTTAAAACATTCAACTTTGTTATAATTCCAACAAATAAATTACTGAATCCTTTGACTTCTAAGAAAGGCTATAGCATGAATCATATATTAAAATGAAACAGGAGTAATCCATAAACCCAGCAATTCTGCTTCTAACATTCTACCCTCCAGAGATTTCTATAAGCCCCAAAAGATGTATAGATGAGGTTATGAGAAACTGAAAATTACCTAAAATCTACTAATGGCTAAATAAAATATAGCATCTATATACAACAGGGAATTAGAAATATTAAGAACAATGTCAGTGATATATCTTTATCAATACCGAAAGATACCTCTGACATCAATATTGAGTGAAACTAGCATCAACTTATCTAATAGGTATAATGTGACAGCATTTAAAAAAAACTTAATACGAAGAGCTATAAGATCACATAGGGAGTTCTCTGATGAGCCACTGTGAATCAATGTTTCTAAGCATAGGATTTGGGTAGATACTTTTCTTTTGTATGTTTATATATTGCTTTGTGTGTCTGTATGTGTGTGAGTATGTATGTGTGCGTTTAAATGGCATGTATGATTAAAAAACAAAAACCACAGAGCTATTTAAAAAGCAATTTGGGAGGCAAGCTCAACAGAAATGAACACAGTATTGTACCTTAAACGGTTGGTATAGGTATCAACACAGGTCTTCATTTTGGCTAATAATGTACCAACAGAAGTTTGACACTCTGACTGTTCTTCTTCCTCTTCACCATTCTCTGTAGAAAGAGGCAACAACAGGGGCACCATGGATGTACAAGAAGCAATGGCCCGGAGCAATTCCAGCAGAGCCCGATAGAGTGGCACATGTCTTGCCATGTCCAGAACTATAAGGAGGAGGGGGAAAAGCACAAAATGAGAATATACGCGACATAAAAGTAAGTCCACGGCAATGTAGCTTTTACCTGGATCTTAAGATTGCAGTTGACCCTTAAACAACCTGGGTTTTAACGGTATGGGTCCACTTATAAGCAGATTTTCTTTCACTTCTGCTACCTCTGAGACAGCAAGACCGACCCCCACCTGTTCCTCTTTCTCCTCAGCCTACTCAACGTGAAGATGACGAGGATTAAGACCTTTATGATGATCTACTTCCCCTCAAACAGTAAACATATTTTGTCTTTCTTATGATTTTCTTAATACCATTTTCTTTTCTCTAACTTACTTTATTGTAAGAATATAGTATAGAATACATATATAAAATATGTGTTAATCGACTGTTTATGTTATTGGTAAGGCTTTTGGTCAACAGAGGACTATGAGTAATTAAGTTTATGGGGTGTTAAAAGTTACATGGGGATTTGTGACTGTGTGGGAGGTCAGTGCCCCTAACTCTTGTGTTGTTCAAGGGTCAACTTAATTGATTAGTTGGTAAATAGACCAATGAGCAGATGTTTATGAAGCACCAATGCACAAAGTGTAACACCCAATTTCAGAAACAAAAAAATGAGTAAGATATCAAATTAGGGGAGAATAAAAAGTGAAACTAAATAACTATCTAGTTATATTACATACATAAATATGATTAAATAGCCCAGATAATACATTATGGAAGTAAATACATTTATTAGTATGAAGTGGAAATATAATTTTAAAATTAAATTGCAATGATGAAGTCATTTTATCTTATGCAATGACAGACTACAGTTTATCAAGTCTGTTTCAACAATTCAACTTTCCTGTTAGCAAAAAAAAAAAAAAAATTGAGTATGCTAACTTTCAATTACCAGCTATGAGTCAAATGACATTTTTCTTAAAATAACATGCATCTAGGAATGGATTCCTTATTCTAGGAATATAGACTGTTGCTGCTAAGGCTCTTATAAGCCGTTTTGTTGGTTTGTGTGGCTTTATTCCAACTGGAATTTACTTTTGTGAATCATGTGAGATAAGAATCTGACAACTTTCTTCCATTGCCAATTATGGAACACCCATTCCATAAACATTTACTGAAAATCTGTTGCTAGACAGGCTGGGAATAAGCAGTGAAGAAAACAAATACAAATCCCCCTACCTTCATGTACCTTACATTGTAGGTGGAGAAGGACAAATGAGTAACAATTTTTCTGGAAACTAGTAAGTACTTTGAATGCAACACAGAAAATTAAAACAGGAGAGAAGTGGGGGAGAACCAACTAGAGGCAGGAATTGCCTCAATGCCCATAGAGCAACATGGGCTTAGAATGTAAGAAGATGAGGCATCACCCAGCATCTTGGACTTTCTGTGACAAATGATGTAAAAGGGATAAAGACCTTGATAAAATTAGTTCTGATAGTCTGGTGACAGACAGTGAGGCTGAATATTCAGAGTGACAGAGGAGTAGGCCCTCATTTTACACCTTCCAATGATGATGCAAGAGACAAGGGTAGGAAGGTTTGCTATCTGGTCCTTGCTCCTTGAAACATTACCTTCCATCTTTACCATATACAGTGCAAAATTTCGATATATAGTTGAGTATGTTTAATGCCTCTTTCCCAACCCAGGATCAAATGTTACAACATCCGACTTACTATGATTCTATAGTATAATACAGAACAGTATGTTATTCAGAAAAATTCCAATTAATCCAAAAGTTACTAATCAATAAAGCATAACATCAGTACTGTGGGAAAGCATGACTCATATAGATAGGTAAAAGCACAAATAGGTATAACCAATTTGGCATTATCTACTAAAATTTAAAATGCCTGTATTCTATAACTCGGTAATATCACTTGTTATTACCTACTCTATAACAGTATTCAATAGAATACTGTTTTCAATGCTGAAAGTTGAAAATAATCTAACAATATCATATCCAAACAACATATCCTAATGAGTCTATCCTATGTAGCATTTAAAAATAAAGTAGATCTAAGTCCCACATCTATAATTAAGTGAAATAAGTTGCAAAAATACATGTAGATGACATTTATATAAACTCAAATATTATTTATTTTTTATGACTGGGGGACTACATACATATGCTTAGTGGAAAAAGGTGAATTTCTTTTTCTTTCTTTTTTTTTAACACATGTTCCAAAAAAAAGGTGAATTTCTAAAAATTAAGTTTACCTACATGAGTAATATCTCAAACTGATTAACCTGATAAAAAAGTAAAACATTCCTGATAATGCTACAGCTATAGTCTCTTTTGACCATTTCTCTCTGCCCCCACTTTTTACCAGGTACATCATTTTGGTATACATCCTTTTTCTATATGATGACATTTCTTTATTCTATGCAATAGCTATTATCCCTATTGTGTGTATGAGAAACGAAGATTTAGTAAGTTGCACAACTAGCTGAGTAGAAAGCAGGAAGATCAGCACTGACACCTAGGTACTTTGTATTTTGTTTTATATACACAAGCAATGAAAAATACATGGGTGGTCACATATGATGAATATTCTTAGTATACTTTCATCTGAGAATGTTAGTATTTCACATTCCTTCCTGAAGGACATATTCCTGGTTGAATTCTAAGTTGACAGTTCTTTCATTTCAGCCAATTTAAAGCTGTTATCCCAATGTCCTTTAACTTCTATGGTTTCTCATGAGAAGTCTGTAGTCCCACTTGAATACCTCTTCCCTTATATGTGTCATTTTTCTCTGGACACTACCAAATTTCTTTCAGTATCTCTGGTTTTCAGCAGTTTCACTGTGTTGTTTCCAGGTATAATTTCTTTTGAGTTGACCTTGTTTGGTATTTGCCAAGCTTCTTGAATCTCATTAAAATTATGTCTTTTACCATATTTGCAAAGTTTTCAAGATTTCTTCAAATACTTTGCCTACACTAATCTCTTTCTTCTTTCCTTCTAGGACTGCAGGGACAGGAATGACATTGTTTCATGGATCTCTGGGGCTCTATTCAGTTTTTCCCCCATTTTTTAGATTGTATAATCAAGTTTAATGCCTACTTCCTCTGTCATCCCCATTGTGCTACTCAGTTCACCTAGTGAATTTTAAATTTCAACTATTTTATTTTTCAGTTCTAAAACTTCCATTTTGTTCTATTCTATGGTTTATATTTTTCTGTTGAGAATATATTTCCATTCATTTCTTTTTTTCATTTCAAAAGTGCTCACCTGTACCTAATATAACCATTCATTTCCAGCATTCTTCTCCCTGGCAGGGTCAGGGATTGATCTCAGGGGCCCCGGGGACAGGCCTGCAGGCCAGATCCCATATACCCAGGTCTCAATTGCATTGCCCGGGGGCACAGAAGGGGTATTTTCGAACAGGTCTACTGAGGTGTGTGTGCCTTCAGGGGCAGATCAGAGTGGGCTCTCACAGCAGCGTGCTCGAGGGGCAACCCTCCTCCCATGGGAAGGCCGAGATCCCAGCTCAGGCTAATCCTATCCTGGGCAGGGACCCCCCACACCCCCCCAACCGCTTGCATCACATTTGGGAGCTCCGCAGGCTTGAGGATCTGCCTGCCAGCAGAGGCCCAGAAGAACCCACAGAATAGGGGAGGGTGGAAAGGGGAGCGAGGCCTGCTCCTGACTGCCAGACTGCAGGTCTCAGACAGTTCTGCCTCCACACCCAGACTTTTTGGCTGAGTGGGGCCATTTCAGCCCCTCCCTGGCAGCTCTGCTCAGAAGCAGAGAATAGAACTTTGACCCCTGCTAACAGCATTTGTGGAGCTTGAGAGCAGGCTCACCCAACCCAGCCCCACCCCACCTCACTCCCCAACTTCCCCCTGCAGAGGGAGGACACACCTGGAAGTCCCAGGGCCCCACCCACCACCTGAGGCACTACAGTGCCTCTCCAGAGGAACAAGAGCTGGTTACAGGACCCAAAAACAACACTGCAGCTTGCTCCTCCTGCCAAGCACCACCTACTGACAGGGAGGCCAACGTGCACACCCTTTTACTGCATTTATTGACTCATTATACAGCCTGTGGTCAAATCTTATCCACAAACACCACCCACTGGTGCAGAGACTAAATTGGGCATGTCATAATCTAAACGAAAATCCAAAGGTAAGAAGAAACAGGTGATCCACATGGGAAGGAATCAGCAAAAGAACTCTGAAAGTATAAAGAGTCAAACTGAAAGGATAACCCCAAAGAAGAACACAGCTCTGTAGCAATGGGTATCAACCAAATTCAGAACACTAAAATGACAGAAGAATATCGAACATGGACTGTAAGAAAACTCAATGATATGTAAGAGAATATGAATACACAACACAAAGAAACTACAAAAAAATATAGGACTCGGAAGAAAAACTCGCTAAAGAAATTGAAATACTAAAGAAAAATCAAACAGAACTTCTGGGAATGAAGAATTTATTCAAGGAATTATAAAACACAGTGGAAATCCCAAGAATAGGGTAGATCAAACAGAAGAAAGAATCTCAGGGACTGAAGATAACACCTTTCAATTAAACAAGTCAGTTGCAGAGACAGAGCAGAGAAATAAAAGAGCAAAACCTACAAGAAACGGGGGATTATGTCAAGAGGCCTAACATGAGAATTATATGCATCCCTGAGGGTGAAAAAGAAAATACACAAGGGTAGGATAAACTATTTGAGGATATAATGGAGGAAAATTTCCCTGGCCTTGCTAGAAATCTAGATACCCAGGTAAAAGAAACTCAAAGGACTCCTGGGAGACTAAATGCAAACAGGAGACACCACAACACAGTCATCAGACCAGCCAAAATAAACATGAAAGAGCCCCTCATATGAGCGAAAGGAGCAGGTAACCTACAAAGGAAAAACCATCAGATTAACTGCAGACTTCTCAACTGAGACCTTACAAACCAGAAGAGACTGGGGCATCATTCTGACTCTTCTCAAACAGAATAATGCCCAACCTAGAATCTTGTATCCTGCAAAA